CCAGGGCAGCTGCTCTGGGTTTTTTACTGCTGAGTTCCTTGGCCTTCAGCTACACTGATGCAAAATGGGCATTGAATGCAACGAGCTCCAGCAGATAGAGAGCCTGGCCAGGGCAAAGAGACAGGTTGCATGGCAGTGGAGAGTTAGGCCCAAAATGCTTAATAAATGGAACATTTTCAGTTTCAACTGGGTCATGATCTAAGTGTTTAATAAGCTTTATAAATCAGAAGACAAAAAAAAAAAAAAAAAAAAAAAAAAAGTGTTTCCAGCATTTTCAATTAGTTTTGTGTGTTTGTTTGGTTTTTTCTTTGAATGCTTGTAAAGGGGTGAGTGTTTTTCAGCACAGCTGAGGGAGCTCCAGTCAGAGCTCCAGGAGCTGGCAGAGTGAACATGAAAGGGAATGCAGAGCTACTGATTTTCATGGAATGAAAAAATAACAACCTAGCACAACCTAGCTATTCCATCCATGCTCTAAAAATGTCTCCTTTCCTAAAAAGCTAACATTTCAGATACATATAGCACTGTGCCAGGTAGATTTTGAAGAAAATATCAAACATGTCTCCTTTAAGAAAGGAATGTGCAGTTAGGACAGCCCTATTTCAACAAGCTTCTGGCTCTCCTGAGGACCTGGAGCCTGTCCTTGGGTGGTGGTCCTGTCTGTGGGGTTGGCAGTGAGTCCACGTTGCCTCTGTGGGTGCACCCTCCCACTGCCCAGCCCATGACTTAACACTTGTCCCCAGTTCTGCCCTGGGTCCTTATGATGGTTGATGACCCAGGGATGTTTCCTACTTGGTTTGTCTATAGGTGATACTCTTCATATAGGCTTGGGGCTATTCCCACCGGCCATAGCTAGGGAGACTTCATTGATTGTCTGTGCTGTGTGGGTGCATTTCTGCAGTGTTTTTGAAATGCTCAGTCAGAATTTTACTCCTGTATTGATGTTTTGCTCTGGCTCATCTCTTTGCTCTCCAGGAGAATCCTTGAGTTTCGCGGATGATTTGCTTTCTGGACTTGCAACATCCTGTGTGGCAGCGGGTAGGAGCCATGGAGACATCCCTGAAACCAGCATCTATTCAGTCATTTTCAAGTGCCTGGAACCAGATGGTCTGTACAAGTAAGGAAACACATGTGGGAAGGGGCTGGGGGCAAGGGGAGGGGTGTCCAGTGCTCTTATTGAATTATTAACCTTTTTGGTCGGCACTACGTTACACCAGACACTGGACAAATGATGAGGTTCTCTTTGTTGCTTTGGGTATTAGGCTTGGGTACTGAAATGGAAAACCAGTGTCTGCCAGTAAAGCACTGGAGGCACTGGGAGTTTGGGGAAGACTCCACTGGAATAACTCATGTTTTCAGTGTGCTGGGCTTCCAGATCCATGCCTGGTGGGATATGGTTGTTTCTCATGGATTAGATGAGCTAATGTAGACTGAAGCAAATTGCCCACTCTGGACCAAAATAGCCAGGTATCAAAAATGTGGTTGGTGTTGTTTTTATATATATATGTAAGTTGCTGTTTATAGTGTATGTGCATGTGTAGGACGCATATACTAGATCAGAGAGACACCAAATCCATCTGTTTCCTGCCCAGTCAATTCTTCAGGGATGCTTGGCCATGGCAGTGCTGATGATGTTCTTCACCTGATTCATCTGAGATGTTTTTGAGAATAGGGAATGGATTTCTGTCTTGATCCTATGGAGTAATTAGTATCCAAAGCAAAGAGATAATTTCAGGATGTGAATATTAATTCATTATTCAATATTATTTGGGAGGACGTCTGGGCTTTTCAACCTGGCTTGTTATTCAGGATATCCTCTGTCTTGGGAGGGATGGCAGGAGAGTAAGAGAGAAAAAAAGAGAGGAAAAAAAGGCAAGGAAACAGAGGAGAGACACAGTGAGCAAGAGAGAAACACTCAGGGCTTAATGTCAGAGCGACTGTAATAATTAAAACACATTTTGTAGTGAGTAATGAAACTTTTTATGGGACCACAAAAGCATTTAAAGCGAGAGCTGGCAAATGGTCTGTCAGACAGAACTTATAAAGATCTTGATTAATACTTTCCCTTTGCCTCCCCCTCCACTGCTCCCCCCCCCCAGATAAGTATGCTGACAGCCTCTGAGGAAGGAGAAGCCTTTACATTATGCATCTCTTGAGAAGAGCTGTGTCCAGGAGTGGGCTCCAAGTGATACCTCTGGCCATTTAACAATTTAGAATGTTTTCTTGTTAAATAAATATAACACATAAATATAATTATTAATATCTCTGGGAACTGGACTGTGCTGAAAAGGTGCCAGGGAGAGGCTGGAGCAATGACAGAGCTTGCTAATAACCTGCCGCCCATAAACTCGTCTGGTTGTGAGCTCTGAGCTATTGGGCTTAGGGCTGCCAGGGGCACTGGGAGAGGGAAGAGCTGCTGGGTTGGATGGGGTGACTGCTGCTGAGGTGGATGCATGGAGCTGGGAGCCAGAAGGTCTGGCTCTTGAGCGGCCTGGGCTGCCAAATAATCTTTCCCATCTGCTGGGCAGGGATAATTGCACTCACTCGTGGCTTGAGGGGCTCTATGATCTAATTCCTGATGTCTGCAAAGGGCTGGGAGAGCCCTGGATGGAAGGCAGGTTTTGTCCAGGGTTGTGTCATCCCTTTGGTCAGGCTTCTGCCTCATGGTCATGAGACACATTGCTATGGAGGGGGTAAGCAGAATTGGTGATGCCCCATGTCCTGGGGATGGCTACAGGTAGCTCCTGCTCTCGGCAGGTGCTCCTGGAAGAGGCAGATGAGCTGTCTGTCAGCCAGCAGGCAGCAGTCCTCTGGCATCAGGAGACTTTGGACTTTGTCCTTCTGAGGCACAGGCCTTGGGGTGACACACAGTGTTGACTCCACCCCGTAGCTAATGCTCAGTGTGCTCTCACACAGTGCAGCACATCTGCTGTGTCTTAGCACACCAGCCTGGACCAGTGTACCCAGTGTACAACGTGTTTGCAGGGACATGTTCCATGTATATCCAGCACACGCATGTTGGCTCCAGCCTGGGACCTAACCAGCATGTGTTCACTTAGCATCTGGGCATTCTCAGCTTCATAGGCACATGCATGAAATATCCCTCTCTTTGGATGTCCATGCAGTTGCAACACAGCATGAAGAAAGCCAAAACAGTGAAATGTGAGGCTAACACTCTGTTCTGAGCCTGCACAGATGTAACAACAACAGAAACACGGGCACAGGGTCATTTCTTAAACTGAATTTCTTCTGCTTGTTTCACTTGTTTCTGTAAAAAAATAGCCACTTGGCAGGGACCTGCACTTCTCTCTAGGCTGTTAGGTGAGCACACAGGTTAGATATAATGAAGAAATTCTTCACTCTAAGGGTGGTGAGGAACTGGAATGGGCTGCCTAAGGAGGTTGTTGATGCTCCATCCCTGGAGGTTTTTAAGGCCAGGTTGGAGGAGGTTTAGTGGGAGGGTTCCCTGCTTATGGTAGGGGGGTTGGAACTAGATTATCTTTAAGGTCCCTTCCAACCTTTATGATTTGGTAATTCACACAGAATCTCTGCAGGATCAGAGTTATTCAAAAGCAAGTGTTTTTATGTGTTCAGTAGTCTGAGGGTATCATGTAAACCAAGAGAGGGGACTGTGAGATCATGGGAGTCTCTTCTGCCTTGTAAATGTGTCAGACATCCTGTCCCTTTTCTTCTGTGGTACCTACAGCAATTCCACTCAGCTGTTGACCTTTTCTTTGGAGTATTCCTAGCCTGACATGAAAATTGGGCTTGAATATGAAAAACAAAACAAAACAAAACAAGCTCTACAAGCAAACAAATCAACAAAGTCTGATTGATTCTTCTGCTTTTGATACTTCTGTAATTTCAAAACATAAACGAACAAAAGGAGAACTAATTTCTTTGTCCTGTGCAATTTCAGTCTGATGAAAATATGTTTTCTGTCGGCCCTTTTCCCTGCCCATAGTACCTTGGGGTTGAGAAGCTAGTCCCTGCAATGAGGGTTTTCAGAGGGAAAGTAGTTCATGTCAACAGAGATCTGTGTGCTCCATGTGTGGTCCTACATGGATGGACACTCCTGCTGGTCTGTCAGACAGGGGTGCCTCTGGTGGGGATGGGTGCTGCAGTCTTGTCAATGTGCTCATTTGCAGTCACGCAAGGACACTGAGGATGGTCCTTGAAGACTGTCCAGTTTGGTTTATGCTCTTAAAAAAACAAAAAGTATTCTAATTCTTGCAAAATGCATCACAGGAGAGGGGATTATTCTCCGCCGAGGTCAGCTAGACTAGAGCAGTCTGTCAAGTTTCCTCCTGGGTGGATCTGGAAAAGGATGGGGTGAGGAAGGCAGAGGAAGAGATGTCTATGTGTCTGTTAAGTGCTTGTCTTGCATGGACCAATAGTTAATGGCAGCCAGACTGATGATTTGAGAGCTTGGGAGAGCCCTGTCATGACAGGCAACTGGTGATGCAGCAAGCACCAAAAACCAGTCAAGACAAAGATCTCTGGCTTGTCTCAGAGGTCAAACACAGCCTGGAGGACTGAGTTTACATTGCTTATAGCTCAGCACCTTACAAACCCCTCTTGTTGCTGCAGAGACAGGAGTTTCCCCTGTGGATCCTGCAGCCTCCCTGAGCCTTCAGCCCAGTTCTGCCATCTCACATGCTCATCCATCTCAACTTCTTACCCCATCATTCCTTGAGTGCCTGGGGATGCCTCTTTGCTGAGCTGTACCTGACCGGCTGCCGGGAAGCAGCTTTGCCAACCCAGCACGTTCAGTTCCGAAACTTGGGAGACATGAAGTATCCCTCAGCCAAACAGGGAAATTTTGGAAAGGGAAATGAAAACCCCCTCCAGCTCCTCAATGGAGCTGCAGTCCAAACACACCAACTTCTTCCCTGCACCACAGATAGTATAATTATAGATTAGATTAAATCCCAATGTTTCACTTTATTTACATTCCTGACCTAGCCTATTCATTTCCGGTGTTTATGCCAAGACTCAGCACAAAATTTACTGGAAATAATATGGAAGTCATCAGGATCCCTTCCAGAGCCTTTCCTTGGAGTGTGTTCATGTTCTGAGCAGGAGCCTCACATTTACATTCCCTTTGCTGGCTCAGACAGGGTTTCCCCAGGGTGATCCTGAACCAACCCACAGGCTCTGGTAGAGTGTGTTTCAGGAGCCTTGGAGAGATGGAAACCCCTTCCTAAGAAATGAAGATGAGGATAGAAGGGGATTCAGATAGACTTCAGAATAACAACACAAGGGTCCCATCTGCAGCAAATACTCACCAAGACCTGTCTGGCCAGCCTCATCTCCTGTAGGGTCTGGAGGCCATCTCAGCTTGGCCAGCCTTAGTCTCTCTCATCCTGCACTGAACATGCTTGATTTTGGTGAGCTGAAGGACTGAGGCAAAGGTGCTGAGTAGGGGGAACCCATGGTAGTGATTGTAGTTAAACAAGCTCAGTGTGCTAAAGGAGCTGGCCCAGAACAAGGCTGATTAATGTTGATTGACCTCTGCCTTATGCAGAGCTGGGATGAAAAGTGGAATGGAAAGCCTTGGTGCTCAAGAGTGTGCTAATGCTGGCAGCAGCCTGCTGCTCCTTCTGTGATGCTAATTGTTATTGTTGGGCTTCTGTCAGGAAGACACTTGAAGCAGTGCTGGAGCAATCCGAGACAGATCCCAAATAGCTCAGTGGCATGGGTTAAAACACATCTGTTGCAGCCCTTGGCTGAGTCCCCTGTGTGCACAGGAGCTGTGATGCTTCACTGAATCCACCTCTTCTATTCCACATGCTCTCCAGCTTCCTGAAGCCGAGTGGTGTGTGGCTCTGGTGTCTGCTCAG